GACGCTGCCACCGCCGTGCTTCATCACGACGCTGCCACCGCCGTGCTTCACAGTGGGGGATGGTGTGTGTGACTACACATAGAATCTAGTCTGATGGACAAAAAGCTCCATTCAGGTCTCCTCAGACCAGAGAACCTTCTTCCAGGTGACTTCAGAGTCTCCACGTCTTCTGGTGAACTCTGGTCCAGATTTAATCTGAGTTTCTTGTTACTCCATCGGATGAATAAAAGCTTTACACTTTATGACAAGTCATTTCTGTTTTAGCACATTTAAAACAAAAGAGTCCAAGTGGTTTCCAACAGTGAAATATTATTCACCTGAGAAGTGTAATAGTGAGGTTCAGACCCTTCAGTAGTGTGAATGGTCCGGTTCTATCTGACTGATTTAAATGTTCAGAACCTACAGAAGCTCCACACTCACCCACTGAGACCTCCTGGGCGAAGGCCAACGAGATGAGCAGCAGCGGCAGCCCCACGGCGACACAGGTTACCATCTTGTCAACGGCGAGCTCGGTCCGGACGCTGCGGTACCGGGCCTGGTTGGGCTCCTTCAAAAGGAAGTCGCTGAACACGTACTCGGTGGCCACGTGGGCGATGGCCATGGTCTCACCTGCAGACACACACGCCTGTTGTAGGTTATCATTACATCCTCTGACTGATTCACAACACTGCTGTAACACGTCCAGAACCAGCACCTCGTCCTGGGCTGGTCCAATATGTTGGTCCACCCTCTCAGATTCTGTTCAGAATTTAACTGTTTGTTATTTAGAACCCAAAACCAAGTTCTGTAAAGTATTTTGCCTGAATTTAGAGAACTTCATGTTCATGCCACGAGTCCACGTCAACATTTAGTCTAAAGATCTAAGAACCAGAACCTTGTCTGGTCCAACTTCACCACATCAGGTTCTGCTGATGTTAGAGCCTCAACAGGTGGTGAAATGTGACCAGAGACTGGGTTCTTGTAGAACCATGGATCCATCCACAGACAGACACTGACAGGAACTCTCTGGATCAATAATGAAACTGTGTCCTGATGGATCCGTTCAGCGGTTCTGATGGAACTGTTCTGTTTGAATCTCCACACTACACGGCTGTTGGACTTTCTTTTCTGGAGGTTCTGAACCTAGAAATGGACCCACAAGTTTTTACTTTGACAGTGAAAATACAACAATTCTCAGGTGTGAAAACAGGAAAACTTCTCAAACCAGGACCATGTGACTGAGGAACAGCACTGATGTACGCTGATCCGGTGTCAGTGGTTTCATGGAACGTGTGACAGTCAACAGCTGAAGGTCTCGTGTGAAAAACATCTGTTCACCTAACCAGAACCCTAAACCCTAAACCCTAAACCCCAACCCAGCAGATAACCAGCAACAACCACCAGCTGTGTGACTTTATGCTGCTGTAATAAATCCAGATCCTCTGACGCTTGGAGTGAAGCTTCAGTTTCAGATTTACTGTTACAGACGTGAGGGGGTGGATTTAAAACAGGGCTAGGGCTGGTTAGTAGGGCTAGTAGGGCTAGGG